CTTTTGGAGCAGGAGACGGTGCCGGAATGTTTTGAATGTTAGGAGGGAAGTCCATCGCTTTTGTTCTGAAACATCCTGAAGCTGAGCGCATTAATAGATAGGCTTAGCCAACTCATCGCTTCACTCCCAAGAAAACATTTTCTAATGCTAGAGCAGCAGGTATAGTTCTAGTGGATTGGGTTCAATATCGCAGATCCCATCCCAAACTAATCTTAGATTATGCTTTATAGATTGATGGTGCAGAGCGAAAGCATAGCCTCCATGGCAAGTGCATTGATCGAGACAACAACAAACTATCATGGAACTCTCCTTAATCTTTCTTCTCTAAAAATGGTAGAGCCACAGGTCAGTAGAGCAGGTGTATCGTTTTCATAGCAGGTTCATTGCAGGCATAGCAGTTGTATGGCTTTTATAGCTGCTTTCTATATAATATCGTATAGGAGGAGAACGTTTTCTAGCTATAGAGCAGTTATATGACTTTCATAGCGTTTAGTAGTTGTAGGGATAGGTAGCTACAAGTAGTGCTGGAAGAGAAAACTACCAAAAAGAGAAGCAGTATACGCAAGGTCTAAGCCTTACATAGTTGTCTTTGTCTCCTTGGTACCCCTCCCTCTTATTCTTCCTCTGTAATAGCTGCCTCGTTAGCGAAGAGTCTTCCAAGCCCGGAGCGCGCATTAAGTTTTAGCAGTTTTTTCGAGCTGCGGCAGAAAAATAAGCAACGAGCGTAGTCATCTGCCCGGTAGCAAAGACCAGGGAAAGCACCTAAACGGAAAAAACGTCTGCTTCATAAGATCATAGGTGCTCGCATTCTCATCAATCATCTGTCGAAACATACTATGGATCGGGATAAAACCACTCGTGTTGACCAGCCCGCAGTCAGCAAAGGATTTCCCCAGAGGGGCCCAGGAGAAAGAAAGAAAACCGTACGTGCACAGACAGACTCGTTAACATACGACATTAGTTCAGTTCAAAGTGGAGTGAGCATCAAATTCAAATCAAAGGAGACCGGACGACGGATGACACCTTCCTTCTCTAGACCGTGTCTCTGATGAAGCAATCCGAACCGACAAGCGAAGCGTCCTTCCTTTCTCAATGACCGGACACCGAGATCCATGTTCTACCTTCCCATGCTGAATCCGCTATCGCCGTCTTTCCCTCACAAGCTGTTGTCCCAGGAGCAATCGGGTGGAGAACATTCTTCCTACCCGTGTGAAAACCGATGAATGGCATTTTCTTTAGTGAATGGCCATCCAACTTCGATCCAGGTCTACTCCCCTACCGAGAAAAGTCGTCAATCCTACTCTCAGTGGTTAGCCAGGCCTTTCTTTCCTGGTCTCGATATGCTTCGATTTCTCTATGGATCGGCATTCTTTTTGGAAGTTTTCAGTCTTCTCTGTAGTCATTCCTGTGCTCTTCCCGAAAAAGACCCGAAAGGAGGCTTTTTGCATGTTAGCGCCTCTCTCTAGTGCCCATTGATCAAAGTCCTAAGCTTGGGAAAGATTCCCACTTCGTTGTCTTTCTCTTTCTTTGAAGCTAGAAAGATGCAGTGCTTCAAAGAGGGTTTGTCTCACAAGAGACTAGCACCCTTTATCAACCTAATCAGCTTGCATCTAGGATTCAGACTAGCCCACAATCTCAAAGCAATTCCTCCTATCAGAGTCAACCCATGTCACAAACCAATCCCTTTCATCAAAGGAAAGACCTTCAAGAGTTCAGCACTACCAGACTACGGCCTCTACTCAGACAGGTCTACAGGCGAATTCGCAGTTTCAGCAGCAAGAAGTCCAGCAGACTGAGCTTCAACCCAGGAACTGAGAATGAACCCGACACAGAGGATTCCCGTGAACCAACGAAGAGTGGCGAGATGCTATTCTTATTCTTTGAGTTCACGAAAATGATACGGAGAAGAGTAGTGACAAGTCTTGCGCCTTCCCTTCCGCTTACACCCATTTAGTCAACCAGGACAGACACATCCTTTCCAATCTTATTTCAAAAAAGGAGTGATTCATCCTCCCCACCGAGCATATCCATGAACCTCCACTTTTAGGGAAGGTAGGAGATCCAGTTAACGAATAGGCTGCGGCTGTAGCTGCAACGAGTAATGAATTTATCGGATGCTCTTTCTTAATCTGATAGAAAGTGGTTCCTTATTCTCAGCACCTATCAAAGTAATTTAATCCCTGTGTACTCGTCATCGAAGCAGCACCCTTTTAGAATTTTCCGAGAGTAGAAATCGATCCAATGTGGATTGGCGACTCATTATCAGCCCGACCGGCAAAAACCTTTATGTCTATAGGGGCTCTGTTCCGCACACATATCTGTCCGGATGCTGTGATCGGATTGGAAGAGAATCAGGCCTTGCTTGATAAGGGGATTGCAGACTTTTTAGCCAGTTCCTTCTCCTTGTGTGTCTGCGAGGACAAAGGCAAGGGAAAACTCAGACATTCTTAGGCAGTCCCCTTCAAAGTAGTTTTCCTAAGAAAAGTGCGGATTTGCTGATCTATGAGTGACTAAGGTGGTCACCTAGAGAGTTGAGATGAAAAAAATGAATTGTTTCGGTCCCTATTGACTAATGGTCGGCTTGTGGTCGACTGCCTTCTTCTTCTCATTCTGACTTGACTTGTCATCGCTGTTGAGTTTGTGCCACTACTCTTTCTGGAATGGAGAACCGCCTCAAACCTTCAAAATTGCCAGCTTTGAAGGAATAGGAATTTGGTAAGAAGCAAGGACCGATTGGACATCGAAAGCTAAGCGACAAAGAGCAGGAATAGGTTTAGGAATAAGTAAGAAAGCAGCAAATCCTTACTCGAAGAGAGGGAGAGTTTGATCTAGTATGAGATCTAATTACAGCTGCTAGTTTCTTTACAGTGATAAGGACCTCAAAAAAGTCTTACATTACTTAATCCCCCTTCTTCTAGCCATCCAGTTGCAGTGAGAATTGCCAGCCATATAGTTTAAGAAAAAAGGTAATCTCCTCTAGTGTAAGTGCCAGTTTCCAGCCTTCTTCAGCCATGGATAATGGCAAAAACTGGACAGTATTCGAAGGAGATGAAGAAGATTCTGCCACTCTGCCAGAAATTGGTTTGGATGACTTACAGCCAACTATTTCTTGCATCAAACAGGGGAGAGGTCGGCCATGATTGCGCCCTTCGACGGATAGTTCGTCATCCGAAAATGTGATGATTTTTGGCGCCAGGTGATGAAATCATTTGACTCATTGTTTCGGGGGAAGTTTGTTCAGGCACATGCGCGTTTCGAAGCACTCAACTAAACGATTCCCGATGTGCTTCCAATGTAGAAAGTAGCTCGGGGTTCACTCAAAGTGCGCTACATTCATACTGAGCACCAGGTAGCGGATGTCTTCACCAAATCTCTGTCAACATCTCGCTTTGCCTTTTTGTTTTGCGTGGCAAGCTTCACATTGGAACCCCACGTTCAGCTTGAGGGGGCATGTTAGACATGTTTCTGTTGGAATTGATGGAGCGCTTTCTGGCTCAGCTGCAGCCTCATTATCAGAAGGTTCGTAATCTACTACCTCTTCTTCTAATTGCTGGCTTCTCGTTCCTTCAAACAAGTAAGATCACTATTGGAATTGAGTGTATTGTATAAGGACCCTTCTATTTTCTTTTTCGGTATGCTGCTCCGCGAGCAAGGAGTGCCACGCACGAGCGGAGCGAAAACAAAGCAGTGGGAATTCTTCGTTGGGGGAAAATCCTTTGATTGCGTATTGAATATAGATCAATGTCTTTCTTGTTCCACTAGCTAGGACCAAATTCTCACATGTCCATTTCGTTATTACAACCTTCTTTTTTGATGTCAAAGACCAGAAGCTATTCGAAAATTATTATTGGATCTCGGTTGTTCTTAACAGC